ATGGCCGCAAGTTGTATCAGAGGAGGTTTAGGTTAAACATGAGGAAGAACTTTTTCTCTCAGAGAGTGGTCGGGCACTGGAATGGCTGCCCAGGGAGGTGGTGGAGTCGCCATCTCTGGCAGTGTTCAGGAGGCATCTGGATGAGGAGCTGTGAGATGTGGTTTAGTAGCTTGTGGTAGCAGTGGTAATATGAAGACGGTTGGACTAGAGGATCTTATAGGTCATTTCCAACCTTGTGATTCTATAATTCTATGATTCTGTGACCCGTTTGGATGCTTACTTGTGCAACTTGTAGGGAACTTGCTTTAGCGGGGTGGTTGGACTCGATGATCTCTTGAGGTCCCTTCCAATTCCTGCAATTCTGTGATTCCATGAATAGTCCAACCTAAAGTCAACATTTTAATCTCACCTTCAGCTGAGATGAAATAGCGTGCCTGAAAACAGATGGAATAAACCACCATAAAATCGCAAGACATATGTGGTTTCTAATGTTCTATACAAGCAGTAGGCTCTACTTCTCTTGCTTGTACACTTCAGCAATTAAACCCAAAATAAATGACCCTGTGAATAGTTAGTAGTTGCCAGGATGCTTTCCATGTTATATGTTCCTGAAAGTGATTATGTGTGGTGAAAAAAATTGTTTGCATAATTAGGAAACATAAAAAAAAATATTGTGGGTGCAAGTATGTTGGGGCTGTGAAGCAGGGGGAATCTGACTAAATCTAGGCTCCCTGAAACAAATTAGAACATTTTTTGTTGTTACTTTTTAGATAATTAATGGCTCTCAGTTGTCTGCAGTGGTAGTTATAGCAATTACTTCAGCTTAGCACAAGTCTCTAATTTTGTGCATCAGTAAGTGTTAGAACAGGGCACAATCACTATCAAGTGCAGTCATTGTTTACAGTATATTCATCTTCATAAAAACTTGACTATAAACAGAGTATCTCTCCATTGAGGTTTGCTTAAAAATATCCATCAGTATACCTTAGAAACACTGTACGGAGAAAAACCAATTGATCTTCTATAAATTTTGAAAAACGAAATGTCAGTGTAAGCCATTCATCTTCCTCTAGTACTTAAGTACCTAGATGAAATAGAAACTCTACTATGCTAGGTCTTATACACACTGAGTAACATTCTTGTACCTATTGGAGAAGCAAGTGTACAAAGCAAGGGTGAACATGGGAGATGGGTAAAGTCTGGGAAGCAGCTGGGAGAAACAAGAATAATACAGACACTTATTGTTAGAGGCAGGAATTTTGTGCAGGGAGACTTACTCTACAAGTCTTCCCTATGAAGGAGTAGTGAGGATAACCTATTATTTCAGACTAGGAGAATTTCATACTGAAGGTAGTGAGATACCATACAAATACATTAGATTCTGAAATGAGGTTTGCTCTTGTTTCCTGATTAGTCTTAGTGCTATCATAGCATACTCAAATAAGTACTTTTTACTATGGGTGTACATCATTCTACGAAACTGCTTCCACACACTACACTGGTAGGATTTTTATTTTTTTAATCACACAATCTAGATTAAAAATAAGTTTAAATGTGTATAGAGAAGTTTTGAATATTTGTTTGTATGGGATATGAAGCATATCCAGTGTTTAAGAAGGGAGCTGCAAAGAATAAAGAGGATAGATAGAATAAATTTCTGCTAGTGGCTACTACAGCAGACCATCAGAAAATGGATCTGATTCTCACAATTTTCCAGCTGTGTATTGAAGATAGCAGGTTAGCATTGTTTTACATTGCTTTAATGCACTGAAAGAGCCCTAACAAGTATGTCTGATGCACATTTGAGTATAGATAATCAGACATCTATCTCCCCCTGAGTTCATTAGATTCACACAAACAGACTGGATATTTTGATATGTTCGTACTTGTCCTGGTTTTGGCTGGGGTAGAATTAACTTTCTTCATAGTAATGGATGACATAATCGTGTTTTGGAATTAGGAGAAGAATAATGCTGCTTTGAAGCTGAATAGTGTTTACATAAAGCCATGGACTTTTCACACTGCCCTTTCAGCAAGGAGGCTGAGGATGCACAAGGAGAATGGGGGGACAGATCCCAAACCTGCCAAGGGCATATTCCATACTTTATGACATCATACTCAACAATAAAGTTGGAGCTGGCGAGAGGAGCCACCACTGCTTAGGAATTGGTTGGCGTGTGGTCAGCAATTGTGTTGTGCATCACTCATTTTGTCTATTAATTGTTATTTTCCCTTCCTTTTCTGTCCTGTTAAATGGTGTTTATTTCAGTCCACGAGTTTTAGCTTTTTCTGATTATCTCCTCAGTCCCACTGAGGGAGTGAGCAAATGGCTGTGTGGAGCTTAGCTGCCTGCTGGGTTAAGCCACAGCACTACATCATTTGTCTGTACCAGGAATGTTACCTATTACCAGACAAATCACTAGAGAAGAGGAAACAGAAAATACTTATGTACTCATGTTTTCCTCCTTCTTCTCCCCAAATGGGGAAAAAATATTTAGATGACATTTGTGATAATTCATAATGGCATGTGAATTGCATAAAGAGTTAATTATAATCTGAAAGTTAATTAATGAGATCTACTGCACATTAAAGATCATTACTCCATCTGAAAAAAAAAAGTAATTAGTGAGTGGTTTCTGGTGTGTTTTATTCTCCTGGGTGGTTTGCTGCAACGTCATTTAAGTCATTCAGTGTTAAGCAAATAATCCATTGTTTTTGTACTTACTGTGATTATTATATAATTGTGACAAATTTAGCTGTAACAAGGAGATTCCTCTATTTCACGGACTTCCTCCCAACCGATGAATAGGTATTCATCTGTCGTTTTGTCAAGTTCCTTATGTCCCTTAATTAAGTCATTTGTGATAATAATAGCAGCCAGAAACATTGTAAACTGTTGCCTTCATCTAGCAGTGTGGTCTGATAATAGAACATGCAGCTAGACAAATCTACCTTCCTATTGCACCACTGGCAGTGCTATGTTGTGTGGCCATGGGCAAAACTGGCGCACATCTATTCCCAAATTGTCATCAATGTTGAAACTCTAAATTTTTCCTGACAAGACTCCTTCTGATGATTGGGATGTCCATTGTGAGCCATGACAGTTGCTTGTAGAGACAACTCTGTGCACGTGGGTAGTACTCACTGAGCAATGCCTCTTGTCATTTTCTGATGATCAGGTCCTTGGAAGACTTCCAACCTCATCACTGATGGTGAATTTTACTGCTCACAAATGCATGGTGAGTTGACATTTCTCTCCTTGGTTGCATTAATTCACCCTAGATTTCTTCAGGGGAGCCTTTGAGAAAGCAGTTTGTGTTTGCCTTCACAGTTCAGAATAGCAAATGTGTGAATGGGGACCCACAACTTTCAGATTCATTACTTTTTTGCCTGTTATTTGCGGTCTTTATTCAGGAAAAAACTCAGAAAGAATGTAATTTTATTCAGTTCAGGCTTGACACTTCATGTCTTGCTGTCACCATCTGAGAGCACTGTTCCCCCTTCCTGTTATGGAGCCCTTTCCTAAGCCTGTATTTCACAAACGTATTTTCCTCTCATCTCCACCTCCCTACTCTATGTAGAATTATACTTTCCCTGTTAGCAACCTTGCTCCCTCCTTCACCTCCATCCTTTTCATGCTGTTATCTTCCTAAATCTGTACAACAGTTCCAGATGTGCCAGATGGTATCCATCCAGCTGCATTCCAGGTCAGGAGCTGTTGGCTGTTGCTCATTTCACATTTATCTTCAATAGCTGAAATCAGGGTTTTGGGTACAAATGAGGTAGGAGTATAATTTTCTTAATCTGAGGAACTCTTGAGAAATCAAAATAAGAATTAGCAGAGATCAGACCTATTTGATATCTTAAATGGGTGCTCAAATTATCAAAAAGAAAAATTGGAGAAAGAAATTAAGGAGGGAATTTTGGCCTTCTTTGTGTTGCCAACTTAAGAAAAATCTCTGCTCTCTTTAAGTTTCAGAAAAATGGTTCTTTATTGTCTTATGCAGGAGTTTATAGTACAAAATGATCATTCTGTTCTCTGTAAATAAGTTTTTCTCTATTTTTTTTAATTTTAATTTACTGAGCCTCTAAAAACTTTCCACTGTCAGTACAGTTCTCTGAAGAGCAAATGTAACCCTGCTGTATACTAGCGAACATCTTTTGTTGTTTTTCAAGAATCTTTTAGATGCTCCCCCATGCAGCCTGTGTGCTACCCAGGAATCCACAATCCATAATTTAACAACTTCTGCTGTGTGCTGCACTGATATGAATATTTTTATGGATATATTAAAAAGTTGAATAGTCAGTGCCAATATTATTCATCTCTCTTTCAAAAACCATGACTCAGATCATGGAAACATAATGGAACTAACTCTTGTATTATTCCAAAATTTGATATTATTTCCTTTGCAATTACAGACTTTTATTATAACATTTTTCTTGCTGCATATCTTACCTTCACCATTCTTTTTCTGAGATTTCAGCTGTAATCACTGAAACTAAAAGAAATGTGGATCAGGTTTGTGCTGCTCTCCAAACTCCTGCTTTGAGTCTCACTACCCATTCTGGCAAATGTGTCCTGATATTCCAAACTGAATTTCTATTTTTACAGAGGGAGCTCTGACTCTACCTTTTTTTCTGCTTAAAAAGTTGGGAGTGTGATTTATTTCAGGAAAAGATCAAATCAAACATACCATAAGGGCAGAAGCAGTAGTATTTTCTGACCAGGTAAACATGTGCAAGTTTTACTGGAATTGATGGCTTCATTCCTGTCATTCCTCACTCTCTGCATCTTTCTTTCCTGGATACCCCTAATATTGCTTGTGTTTAAAAATCTGGGGCCATACTGGGAATAAGTGCAAAAAAAGGAACTCTAGAGTTGATGAAGCACCATATGCTAGAAATTCTCAATAGTCTATCCAGGCAGCATCATGACTGCTCTTCATAAAATCATGAAGCAGAAACATGGAATGAATGTTTCAAGCTTACATTTTGTCCCTGTACAGTTCAGATGCGACCAGGACTAGCATTAATTCTCAGGAGGTTAGATTTTTCCAGTTCTCAGTGAAGATACAGACTCCTTAAACTCAAAAACTTTGTTACTGACAGTTTAGAGACATGTTTAACATCACCATTTTAAAAAGATTATTCTGATAATACAGCAAGATGCAATTAAATATCACACAAAGTAGAAAGGTGCTAAAGGGTACTGAAGGCAGTAAAGGGACTGGGGTCAGTAATGGCAAGTCACCACAGGTTGAAAAACTATTTTAGATGAGTATTATCAAAATTCTTGCTCTGCCACTGCAACTTTTCTTAGGAAATTACTCTTGGCCTCTCTCAGACATAAGAAATAAGATAGGGGAGATGTGGTTTCATGGTCATGGTGGTGAAGTTGATGGTTGGACTACATGATCTTAGTGATATTTTCCAACCTTCACGGTTCCATGATTCTATGAAATGGGGTGAATAGACCTTTGGTATATCCAATGAAGTTGTTTTTATGCTATATTTTCATTTACTAGCTATTTTTGTACAGCTTTGGCTGCACTAGCTTTCCTTCCCTGTAGAAGTTGCTAGTGGGTGATAGTAAGTGCTCAGGAGCTCAGGAGCAGGCCTCTGAGAAAAGCGCTGAGTGTTTTAGTTCACATGTGTTTAAATCCATTTACTGAGCTGAGAAGATTGACATGTAATTCTTGAACTACTGAACTGTCTGGTGACAGACCAATTCTACATCAAACTGTGTGAGGTACATCACTGCCCATGGCAGAACAACTTCAGGGGACAACCAGGAAGGATATCATGGCTAGGAGTATTCCTTCTTTTAGCCCTTGAGGCTGTAAAGATGGGTCTTGAGCGTCTTGGCCACATGAAGATTTTTGGACTATCTTTGTGAAAAGCAACTTCACTTCCTCTATAGCCAAGAAAGAAGAAAATTCCTACAGACTACTGTGATTTTGCTCAAGGGCACACAGAATTCAGCAAATACATTTGGATCATGTCCCAGAACAGATCTTGATGTTACTGTGCCATACTGGTCTCTAAGAACTACATGCAGCCCAGCCTCAGTCTCTGCACCCTAGCCATACACTGGTATCTCCATAAATAGTCTAGTAGCTCTTTGGAGCTAAGGAAGGCTTATAAAAGAATTGCTCCATGGGTCTAAAAGTCCTCACCAGAGAAACACTGACAGATGTCCAACAGTATCCTGGGTTGCATCAAGACAAGTGTGACCAGCAGGTTGAGGGAGATGGATTCTGCCTCTTTAGTCTCTTATGAGACAATGCCTGGAGTACTGCTTCCAGTTCTAGAGTCCTCAACACAGAAGGACATGGAGCTGTTGGATCAGGTTCAGAGGAGGGCCATGAAGATGATCAGATGATTGGATCCATCTACAGGGACATGTTGAGAGAATTGAGGCTCTTCAGCCTGGAGAAGAAAAGGCTCCAGGGGGACCTTCCAGTACCCTTCAGGTAAAGCTGTGGAGGGACTTTTTAGAAAGGCATGCAGTGACAGGACAAGGGGAAATGTCTTTGAACTGGAAGAGGATAGATCGTGACTAGATAATAAGAAGAAATTCTTTACTGTGTGGGTAGTGAGACACTGGAACAGGTTGCCCAGAGAGGGTAGTTCAAAGCATGAATTAGTCATAATCTTCTCGTCTCTCACATTTTTACCTATCTAATAGACACACAGCTCTTCCCAAGTGCAGTGATTTACAAACTGTGCCAATTAGACTTCGGTTCTGCTCCAGGCCTGGGACAGAACCGAGAAAATGTTGTGCTGCTTTACAAGTGGGACTTACTAAATTAAACATGCCAAAACTCTATAAAAGCCTTATCAAACAAAGTCAGCGACGGGAAAGAGCAAGAGCTAATTATCAGGCAGCAACAGTAAATCAAAAGAAGCAGCCAAAAGTATTTTAAAGTCAGATAATTAACCCATGGGATAGTAATGGGGGATTCCTCCTGCCTTTATATTGAAGACATTTTAACCTGAGCTTAGAGAGAAAAGGCAGTGTCACATGTACTTTACCTTTATTGCTTCATCTTCACCCTCTAGAAAAGAGGAAAAAAAATCATAGCAAAACTGTTTGAGTTCCTTATGAGAGAAAGACAAACAGACACAAAGGGCAACTTGCCATTCGACTGTCTGACAATTTTAAGAAGTATGCAGTTCTGGAAAACACGTTGGGGGAATTAGACAAAACGTTTTATTTATATGAGGTTTGTTGATCTGAGATAACTTTTATGACACAAAGGACTTGTATGACAGCAAATCTGCTCCTAAATCACCTGAACATTTGAAATATTCCCAAAAAAGCATCAGAGGTTGTTAAAACCTGTGGATAAGTGTAGAGATTTTCACTAAATTTATATAAAAGATAATGCCTCCATTCTTTCACTCTGGGTCATAAATCCTCCTAGGAAACTGGGAAGTCAGTAGAATAAGGGATAGAGGGCAGAACTGGTCTTTTTTCTCATATATCATAGAACCATAGAATGGCTTGTGTTAGAGGGGACCTCAAAGATCATCTAGTTCCAATCCCCTACCATGGGCAGATTTGTCAACCATTAAATCAGTGACTAGACCAGGCTGCCCAGTTTATTTCTTCTCTGTTGTCTAGAAGAGTGTACTAAAAAGACTAGGAAAGACCTGTTCATTGAGTATTGTATAGATTTACAGCCTAGATGTCACAAGATACTTGCACAGAAACATTTATCTTGGCATTTTCTTTTAAATGTCTTTCTTTTCTTTTTTTCCTTCTGGGTTTCTGTACTTTCTGAGACGTCTTACATTCCAGGATAGAAATATCAAATATGAATACTGAAATGTATGTATTGTAACACAACTGCACTGAAAATACAGTTTTAAGGGAAGCACTCAGAGCTCAAGTATGTGTTGCTTTCAATAGTCTTTTACAAAATCATCAATGAAAATTTAGAAAATGGCTTTGCAATGAAAAAAATAAGTATTGTCAGGAGGCATACAAATGACTAGGTATTGGTTAGAAAATCTCTAGAGTTCTGTTAGCAGTCAGAATCAAATTATGTTTATTTTTTCTCTTCTATAGGATATACTCATGCATAGCTGAGAATCTTTAGAAATGTGTACACATTATGATATTTGAAATAAATCAAGCCAGGACTCCATTATACTTATAATACTGAGATTTGTATTAATGAATTCTGAAAGGTTACAGAAGGTGGTGGATTATATGTGATGTGCATAAAAATACATATACTATTTTGTTTTCACAGTAACCACAGCAGATCTCCAGACATTCCGAAAATAAGAAGCAGTCATAAAGGTGATTTTAATAAATGCTTTGTAGGAAATGGACTTAGTGATATGCCTTGTAGCCTCAAGAAAACATTGTAAAAATGAGGGTGGTTGGGGATTTACTATGACTGTGGGGGGGAATTTCTTATGGTAGGAGAAGCCTTCATCCTTCATTACACACAGATAGCTGGCTATAATAAAAGTAATTTTGGATTTCTATCACTGATAACTGAATTTCATCCTCATCTTTGCTAGCTTCAGGGTGTCGCTTTAAAAATGAAGTCAAAAGAAATACCTTGGGAAAGGGAAAGAAAAAGGAACAGGCAAAAAAGAAAAAGAAAAAGGAAAAGGAAAAAAGAAAAAGGAAAAGGGAAAAGGAAGGGGAAAGGGAAAGGCAAAGGGAAAGGGAGAGGGAAAGGAAAAAAGGAAAGGGAAAGGAAAAGGGAAAAAGACAAGGAAAAGGGAAAAAGACAAGGAAAAGGGAAAAAAAAAAAAGGAAAAGGAAAAAGGTAAAAAAGAAAAAAAGAAAAAGAAAAAGAGAAAGTTCCCATCCCTTGAAGCATTAAAGGACAGGCTGGATCAGACCCTAAGCTGACTGTTCTGGTGGGTGACAATCCTGCCTATAGCAGGGGGAACAGAACTGAATGATCTCTTAGGTTCCTTCCTACCTAGACCATTCTATGATTCTATGTCAATATATAAACCCCAGTACTGTGGTTGACCTTAGCTAGCTCCAGTTTTTCAGATATTTGGCTTTATGATCACTGTAAATAATGTTTGGAAACCAGATCTTACATTTATATACACCTTATTTAATACACATACAAAAAGTTAAGGGCAACACCAACTTCCAGTTTATCTGTGACAGAAATAGTTAAATGACTTGAAGCTTCCACTGTATTCAAGAATTCTTAATAAATGAGCACTCAAATTTAACAGTTTATTTAAGTGAGAAAAGAAATAGAAGTCATCAGTTCACTTAAACTTTCATGTTATTTTGCATCTTTCTTTGTCATTTAGTGTTTCTGGGGTGTTCACAGAACCACAGATTTACTGAGGAACTGGCAGGTACCTTTGGATACCAGCCAAGAGCAGGATCGTCTAGAGTAGAGCACTCAAAGCCTCTCCAAGATGGAGACTCCTCTTATTACAGAATCGTAGAGTTACAGAAACATAGAATGGCTTGGGTTGGAAGGGACCTCATAGACCATCTAGTTCCACCCCCACCTGCTGCAGAAGGGTTGTCAACCATTAAATGAGGCACTCGATTAGGTTTCTCAGGGCCCCATCCACCCTGGCCTCGAACCACTCCATGTTTAATAAATATGTTAATTGACGTGTTTAAATAAAATTTCCTATATTTCATTTTGTTCTTCTTGTCTCATCACTTCAAAGACAATTTAAAGAATTTCCAATTTCTACCCTAAACAACAGCGTTTGTACGCAAAATGTGAGCAATATTTTGAAGTGCAAATTGCAATTCAATCTCTGTCAGTCTAGGCTACCACTTTTGATGAATGTCCTTTTCTGGAGCTTTCCTCCTACTTTCCCTATTTTTTTTTTCATCTGCATTTTATAAAGGAAAAGGCTCTGATTCTTGACTTCCTTTCCTCAAAGTGAAAGTCTGAAGAGGAACTAAACAGTCTTAAGTATAAAAGATCTTACTCTTTCCCAGACAATTTGACTGAAGATAAAGCTTCCTTATCCAGTGAAACAAATGTGGGCAAAGGCAGGGGGAGTTCGGTGTAAACAGAAGAATGCCACAGAAGTCAAAGGGACTTGCTAAAGTGCTGTAGGTTTGCTTCCAGATAAATTTATTTTGTATCTAAATCCACTTTATTTGGTCTTCCTAATTTTGCTTTGCCTTCCAACACTGCAAGCAATATTGTGTTTCTATCTACAATTCTGTGAGATCTGTACTTCATGTCCATGCTAGGAAGTGAGCTTTGTTTTCAGAATCTGCATATTGAAATCATTTTCACGGCACAAGAACTTCTGGCATGAATAACCTCTACCTTCCTTCACTCTTCTCCTCCTTTCCCCCACTCCTACCTCTGTATCAAGCTGCAGTAGAGTCCACCTGACAGTTTTCTAAAGGTGCTGCTGATTATATACCAATAAAACATCCAACATTTTAAAAGCAGAAAAGAGAGAAATATTCCATCTTTGCTGCTGAACAGGGGATCATGCTGTGAAATTACTATTTTAAGCATGCTCAGGCATTATCAGTACTCTAAGGATAGCTATTGTAAGTAATGGAGGAAAGAAAAGGGTACATTTCCACACTTCAGCTCAAGAAGGTGATGTAGAGGAGAGGAATTTAACTCAATGTCAGGCAAATTTAACATTGCCCATTAACCTAATGGCTTCCCTAAATAGTCCTGAAAGAGATTATACAGCAGAAATTTTAGTTTGCAGCAGAATACATATTGAACTTTGATGACAAACATTGTGCTACGTACAAGCAGTTTCATTCACAGGTCATTAGAAAAAAAAAAGAAAAAAAAAAAGAAAAAAAGAAAAGCACAGAAAACCTTCTAATACACCAAAGGTTACGTGCCCAATTGTTTTCTTATGAAAGCAACCAGAAAAGGAGAAATTCTTGCTCAAATCTTGGCTTTTAGCACTATCCCAGACGACACATTGCTGGTCTTAACCGCTGCCCTCTCTTATCTTGAGGGTGAAATCTCACATATTGGGTTCAAGTTTTATTTTTAAACTTGGAGACTCCAGTGTACATTTTAAAGTTCAGGGAAGAGTTGAAGTGTGTGTGGTCACAATCCCAGGGAAAATCCTTATGCTGGAAATTATCGCCAATACTGCTCCAGCTAAAGAGCAAAGGTTTTGCAGTAGAGGATGAGTTGAGCATTGTAATCAGCTTTGGTGGGAACTCAGCTTGTACTCTTTCTGCATGCAACATCTTCTTAGAAGGATTCATAGTTTAAAAACACCAGTGTGATGGACTATTGTTCATTACAGGGTAACATAACATCTACGAGTTGGAGCCACAGTCTAGATGAAGGCATCCGAAACTCCATTTCAACGTGTAAGTAACAATTGAGACTCATAAACAAAAAGAGCTGCATGCGGGAAAACAATATTCAAAGTGTTAGCATATAATGAACCTGTGGAAAATGAAATTAGAAGCTAAAGGAAAACTAGAGGGAAATACAGCAGGGAAAAATGTAGACTATAAAGGGAGTGGGAGATCACAGTTAAAATGAAATAGACAGCAATTTAAAGATAGTTTAAAGCTCCTAGAAAGTTGCAGGAGAAAAACATAATAATGGTAGGAAAAAAAAAAAAGGACAAGTAATAACACAAAGTAGGAGCTGCAGACATAAAATTAATGCATTAAATGTAATTACATATTTGCACTCTGCATAGAAAGAAGGACCATTTTCCTGGTAATATCACATACTTGTAGATTTTTCCCCATAGTATTTCTGCAGAGCACATGGACTGGAATCCAAATGCTACCTGTATTTGCAAGTTGGATAATGAAGTATCCTAGCATCTTTTAAAACTTTTCCTCCATCTTCTATTGGGATATCCTACATCTTTAATTATGGTGAAGTAGAATACATTGTCAATTTCTCTTCATAGCGTTGAGCAAAGTTTGCAGCTTTTGAGCACAGATTGTTCGGGCTCAGTAGATTTAGCAGGTAAGATCAAATCTGTGAGGCTCATCTGTGATAACGGATTCCTAGGACATAGCCTGAAATGACTCACACATTTTAAATGAACATGGTCATTGTGATAATTATTGGTATACTTTCACTCCAGCATTACTGTTCTTGATCCTCTCTCTGGTCAGATTTTAGAAATCAAAAAGACACACACTACAATTTTGATGGAGAGAGGTTGCCATTGCCACTATAGTGCAAGATAGAAAATTCATATCCATTTTTTGTTTTCCCTCTGTTCTCCATTCGTTGTTGCAGGTGTTCCCTTTTGATTGACAGTACCTACACACAGGAAAGCTCAGATATCTTCAGCTAGATTTGTTCTTTTCAGAGCTGAGAAGCACTTCTTGCTGGATAGAAAGTAATTTGTCGAGATGCTTCTCGCAAGAGAAATCTGAAAACTTTTTTAGCTCTCAGTCCATATGAGTGGAAGACTTATTATTATTAACTGCAGGACAAGGGGAAATGGATTTAAGTTGAGGGAGGGAAGATTTAGGTTGGATGTCAAGGGGAAGTTCTTTACAGAGAGAGTGGTGAGGTGCTGGAACAGGCTGCCCAGAGAGGTTGTGGATGCCCCGTCCCTGAAGGCTGCTCTGTTCAAGGCCAGGTTGGATGGGACCCTGGGCAGCCTGGTCTAGTATTAAATGGGGAGGTTGGTGGCCCTGCATATGGCAGGGGAGTTGGAGATTCATGATCCTTGAGGTCCCTTCCAACCCTGGCCATTCTGTGATTATGTGAAGACTCCTGATTTAAGCACTGGTCTAATGTCTTGGAGGTGGAGAAAATAAAGTGCTGAATTCAAATGTCAAGAAATTTGAATTTAATTCTTCTTGAGCTTTCAAGGTACTCTCACATACCTTTCTGAGATGTGGAACAGACAAAATTGGTATGTGGCAGCTACCATAGCAAATGTTCTTACATTTATTGCACTTTGTGAAAGCTCTGTTCAGTGTGAGGAAATGAAACGACATACATTGATTTTTCAGGACATTTGACATACTATAGTAGGGACAGGGCTGTAGCTGCAAAGAGTATGAAAGAAATCTGGGAAGATGGTTATTTCAGTTGAGCAATTTTCCATCAAGAATGCTGCAGGGGCAAAAGGATGTCAAGGACTGGAGAACGTAAAATTTATATCATGGTTTACTGATGGTCTTCCCTCTCATAACCAATAAACTAACTAAACTTCACTGTCATAGTCTTCCAAGCTCATAATTTTATTAGACACCACTGACAGTCAACTATCAAAAACGAAGTGACTGAGAATTGGCCCAAGATTCAGACCACACTGAAAGTTTAGTCTGTAAAAAAACTGACAGGTCAGGCTGATAAGAAAGAGTGAGAAAACTGTCAAACTTAGCACAGCTCAACTCAACACATTCAAACTAATCTGTCCCAGTGATCCCTATGTGTTATCTCCTATGACCATGTCTCATTGACTCAGGAGTCCTCTTGCTTCAAACGCTGTCTGTGTCTGACTTCCATTTGTCACTGTGACAACAATTTAAATTAGATTAGGCATGAATTAATATACAAGAAGTCCAGGAAATCATTAGGTACAAAGTGTTTCTGGATTAATTTAAAGAACAGCAGTATACTTGCCAATGTAATTAACAAAGTGATGCCATAATGCCAGTTAGTACTTTCCTTGAGTGAGAATTTTATGCTGTTGCATTTCAGTGTGGAAAAACTAATTTACTATGTGTCTGCAACAAGCAACATTAAAGCTCATATTTGTTTACAAATAAATCTTCTAAGGAAATGAAATGCTTGGGAAATTGCAGGTAATGCTCTTCCATTGTTGTGTGCATATCAAAGACTATGATTTAGAGATTACCATGGTTTTGCAAGAATAGCACTCAGAGTGGAGCAAGAGTTAATCAGCTACAACATTAATTGAAGCATGATCTCTGCAGCAGGGCCAGAGGAAGCAGGGTAGTGCTAGAAAACACTGAACTGGTATTGCTGCATAATAGTCATAGATTGTGGTTTATGACAGAGTTCAGAAGGTAATGCTGAAAATACAAAGTGAAAAATGATTGCAAAATTTTCTGCAATTCCAAGTAGGCAAATACCCATTTCACTTGGAAAAACTCCTTCCTAAATAAGAGGGTAGAAAAGACTTCAAATAAAGCACAGTCTAAGTCCTGCCACAGCTGAGATATCCTTATCACACAATCATGGAATATCCTGAGATGGAAGGGACCCATAAGGATCATTGATTCCAACTCCTGGCTCCACCCAGGACCACCCAGAAGTTAGACCACGTAACTGAGAGATGAGTTGTCCAAATGCTTCTTGAACTGTGGCAGCTTGGATCTGTGACCACTGCCCTGGGGAACCTGTCTCAGGTCCCAACCATGCTGGTGAAGAACCTTTTCAAGATGTCTAATTGATGTCCCCTGTGAGGAACTTTACACTGCCACGAGGTCTTCCATCAGCCTCCTCTTTGGGCTGAACAAACCAAGGGACTTCAGCTGGTCTTCATTTGTCTTCCCCGACAGATCCTTCATAGTTTTTTGTAGTCCTCCTTTGGATATTCTCTCTTTTTTAACTGTAGTTCCAAAAACTGCACCCAGTAGTCAGGATAAGCCCATACCAGTGCACTGTAGAGTGAGACAGTCACTTCCCTTGAAGCTTTCTTTCCCTAGAGCTTGAAGGACCTCTTTCCTTTATAGGAGTCAAACTTCCCCCATGGTACATAGAACAATTGTGTTCACCATAAGACTGGGTTCTCCAAAACCATTTCTGCTGATAAGGGAGATGTCAAGAGACAGTCAGAAACTAGAACTCTAGAGACAATAACACTGAGGAATAAGGGTCAGCATTTGTGTGTCATTGGGATTAACAACCTCAGTCCTGTACAGAAAGTGAGACTCCTATTTTTAGAAAAACTGAGCTCCTTTTCAGGGTCAGCAAGTTGTTACGCTACTTACATGTGCAAGTGCTAGGAACACTTTCTTTATGTTACATTCATCAGTCACTGAAAAACAAAGGAAGATTCCTTGAAGCAGGGACTGGGACTCAGTTTTCCACTTTGGAAACGGCATCTCCATTTTGAGATTTTCCTCTCTGCCTCTTTCTCTCATGCAAAACTAAAAAAAAATTGTTGGATTTTTTTTTTTCTTTGCTGAACAGTGAGGATATTCTTTCATTTCATGTGAGGATTAACAAACCCTGTTGGGTCAAACTCATATCTCTCCCTGACAGCTCCAACTTAGCCCACCTTATAAGACGAAGTTTTTTCTCTCTCTCCAGCTTAAATGCACAAATGCTCTTTTCAAAATGTGTCATCCTGTTGTTGCCTGCTAGACCTGTTTTGAGGAATGTCAATCACAATTTTAAAACTTAAATGGACGAAAACCTACGTCATGTCCAGTGGTTCCAATTAGGAGAGGTACACTTAAGAAAATCTATCAAATTAACTGTATTTCCTTCTTTGATGTTGCTACAAGAACATCCTAAAAAAGCAACCAAAAGCTCCCAAAAGTTCACACCCATGTAACATTTTCTTATCATTATAGTCTTCAATCTAAAAATAAAATAAACTGCCTAATCTTTTTGTCCTTTTATCTTTCCTCTCTGATTGGCTTCACATGCTCTCATCCTAAAGATTTTGCAGAGCTGTTCCGTGCTCTTGCTTTTTGTGTGTCAAACAGCCAGCTGCTTCCCAGTTTAATACATCATCTCATGGGTTTTGTTGCTGAGATATGCCACTTGCTCTTTTATCTTCTGGGCCTTTCTTTTCCTGATGGTAATGTCAATGCCTTAATACTTTATTTATGGAACAGGCTGCAGATAGAAAGGTTTCCTTGGCAATTAGTGGGCCACACTCTATTTGATGCCCTTAATTCCTACAAGGCTGTGATAATAATCCACAGGATGTCTTGAGCTGCTATGAGCTTAACAAGTCATGCAGATATTTTAGGACATTTGAACATTATCGGTTTAATTGTTTTCTCAGGCAGATTTTCAAAGTTTATTTTAGCCTTCAAAAAGTAACTCCTAAGGATTTTTATTATTATTTGTAATGAAAACCTGAAGGTAGACATGTACATCTACCTGGCGATGTCTTGCTGAAATGTAATTAAATTAACATAAATAGTTCATTTTTAGTAGAACTTGAATTAGATTGAACAAGAGACACCTTAACGTCTTATCAAGACAGCATCTGAATAGGTGAGCTTACAAAGCGTGCGCAGGTGAGGTGGATTGAGAACTGGCTGAATTGCAGAACTCAGATGGCTATGATCAGTAGTGCAGAATCTAGTTGGAGGTTTGTAACTACTGGCATTCTCCAAGGGTTGGTGCCTCATCCAGTCTTGTTCATCCTCATCGATGACCTGGATGAAGGGATGAAAG